CTCTGGACTTAAAGGTTTTTATCTGTGTTTGTGTTTGTCCTTTTGTGAATGTTGTCTGCCAGTATATAAATAAAAGTGTATATACTCAACTCACAGTCCTCTTTAATTTCTCAGTCAGGGGAAATTAAGGGGGATAACAAATATGAAGGGGAGAACCCCATGAAGCCACACAAAAAAAATCGTCATACATGTCAGAGAAAATCATTGTAGACAAGATGCTTGTAGAGATGGTCCACCTGTAACAACTTCCCAATTCCAGGGTAAAACCATTTTTGGAGGAATGATCAATAGATTCTAATGGTAGACATTTCCTGACTGACAGGCACATTCTGAAATTTGAAATTTCAAATGTGACCAACTGGTTCTTTTGTAGTTTCCATGGAAGCTGTGATCATTGAAAAACATGTATGCTTTCAAGGGGTTCCACACATCATCCTCCCAAAATGAGATTTTACTGTATTTTCATGGAATGGACAAGAATATTTCGAAAATTATTTTTTTAAGGGGTAGGTGGGCCCCAGAACTACTGAGGATCCAAATTATGGACACTTGATAAATTCAAAAAAGCTGCCCCATACAATAGCAGAACAGGAATCAGGCGAAGACAAGTTTCCTGGACACATGGGAAAAATGTCTTTTGATACAGCTAAGTATTTCCAGTGAATGACACCATATACAGTACCTATATACAGTCTATTTCCTTAGTGCTTTTTTTTTTTAAAGATGAAGCATATGAAGGAAGCAATGAAAGAATTGATCAGTTTTAGCGGGGATTGATCGGGAGTCCATCATACAAAAAGTCCATTGAACCAGTAATTTTAAATACAGTGAGACCCTGATTTGAAAATAATTTGACTTGTTATGCGCACTTTGAAATTAAAAATGAGCCCCACCACCCGGATAATGTTTTGAGGTACAGAACTGACAATTTGCCTAAAATTCCAGAAAAGAAAAAAATTTCTTGTTACACAATTTTAACATTTGTGGAACGAATTGAGCTATTGCCATGCACATACGAACGTCAAAATACATTTTATAGTGAATGCACCCTAATTGAATTTTGAAGAAAGATAATTTTTTGCTTTTCCATTCAGGGGTTTTTCCCTCGACTGTGTACGGTATATACTGCACTGTATAGGATTAATTGCGCTTGTTTTTTTTATCCTATTCACGCCAACAGGGCAGATTCCGTTCAGCTTGTTGTTTTCTGCGTCAAGTTCGAAAAAAAAAGAAGCTTTTTCGATTGAATTTTTTGGAAAAAAAAGCCCAATTGAAAAAAAGTCCAATTTTTTGAAAAAAATGTCCCTTTTTTTCTGAACATGAGATGTGATTCAAAATGTTCCCAAGGTGTGTGAGTAAAATGTGATCCAACACGCAGATACGGCATTTCAACATGCGGAAACGTTTTGAGGACATGTTAATATTTTTTGGTACCACTGATCACCTTGAGTATTGTTGAACCCATGACAACAAAAATCAGTCTGAAAAATTAGCATGATCGCTATGTAGTTTAATCTTTAAACAAATTTAATTTATCCTTTAACGAAGATGGTTTTTTTTATTCAATAAACTCACATGCGCAATAAGCGCCAGTCCTTGCATGGTTAGCTTGGAAACGGGTTCTTTCCTGCCACTAGGAGCATGTCTGGGCATGGGTTCGCTGTCCACCTGGTCCAACCCATCGGTCTCGGTACTTAAGGTTTTCTGAAACAATTTCAAAACGAATAAATCAAAAAAATTACGCTTACTAAGGCTTATTAAATTGAAAGTCATAAAATCGGCGAAGATAGATTGAGCCTCGGAATTTCATAAAATATCATAATTATTGTTTAATAGGTCATTAAATCCTCCAGGATGGAGGGCCGGGATTTCCACCATACATCCTCTATATACTGAGCTCAAGAGGGAGGATTCTGCAAGCTATAAAAGGAGAGTTTATCGCAGAAAAAGTCAGTTTAAGTTTCGAAAGATAATGGCACTTGATAGTGAAATCTAGCTGTTCTTTCTGGTCGGATGCAATCGAATATTCACCAGTTTCAGAAGACCAGTGTGTGTGCGTCGAAAGTAGTCAACTTCATCTTCACCGGGCTTTGGTTTTATATCAGTGAAGTCGTCCTTCAAACCGTACTTTCTGTTTGAAAACCTTTTCCGTCGTTCCAGCCAACGGGACTTGAGAGCTTCTTCTTCATCTTCAAAATTCTTGTCGACAACGCCGAAGAAATCGGTGGTGCCTTTCTTTATTGACCTACAGAGAGAACAAAATAAAGATAAAATCGGCATTTTGTGTCATCGTGTGTAATGGCCCACGCCTAAGTTTTCAAAAACAAAATAGATTTGGTGCGACATCTGTTCTCCGCAAACAGATAATCATTGAACGGTTCTTGTAAGTTTTCACAGATGTGCCTAATAAATGTTCTGGGCCTCGCTGAGTGGAATGTTGATGATTTCCGGAATAGTTTCAGAGCCAAAGGCTATTTTCCATTCTATTCCACCGTTTAAAAATGAAGGGCAGGCTTTCAACAAAAAAACGTCTGGTACCTCATGAAATCATTGAATAAATTCAACCTATCAACGCCGAAGAGCAGTTCAGCTCCCGGACCGGAGTGGCCCTGCGAAGAATCGTCGCGATCAACGCAGAAATCCCATCCTCAAGAACTCAACGTAGTCAGCATAACACAGTCTCTAACCTGACGTTGAGATTCTTCGAAATGTACGTTTTCACAGAACTCCCAAAACTCTTTGCCCCATCGACAGGTACACGTCGTTGCTGCTGCTCCAATGTCGGCGTAACAGGGACCCACGGATTCACAGACGAAGGCAAAGAAGAAAACTCCAACGTCCCCAGGTCACTTTCCATTCTCACTTCTCGTACTTCTCGGTACTACTAACTACCTCATGCCTTCACTTCAGTATCACTTGGGTAAAGTACTGCTGAGACAAGTACATCAGGACGCGCGCTTCCCATGGAGTCTTTCAAGGACAACCTCGCGAAGCAGCATGGTCTCCATCACATCCGCGGGAACAAAGAGAACAGCGCTGTATGTATAGCGGGGGGAAATTTAAATTTATAAACACGTTTTCCACCTTCGCCAAGCTCCGAGGTAAAGTTTCATTTCCAGCACTTAGTCTGATATATTACAGGCTGTGATAAAACATTATCCAAGTGAAATATTGTACTAGACTGTGACACTGCTGTACGAAGTGAAGATTCGAGGCGAGGCTCAAATTTCACACTGATGAGAAGCGCGCGTTACACGTCATTACACGAAACACACCTAATACTGCACCCCACTGAACTGTTAAACAGTACAGTATTATAAATGGACGCGCACGGTTGCAGCATCCCCCCCAACATCACACACAGGAGCTTCACGGCTGGGGTCAATGCCATTCTGAGGGGGAAAATGAACTAGCAACAGGATGCAGTGTCCTCCCTCCCTGCGACCGAACCAGTGGATCAACAAGACTCCACAGGTTACGCATGGTGGGCAGGATTGAGGGGGGAAAATCAGACACCCAGGGGAAGAAAAGGGCCGTGTTATTTCCCGATTTTATTGTTCGGCAGGAGCAGGGGCATATGCGCAAAACCCTCAACCTCAGAAGAAACCGGGCTATGAGCACTTTTCTTTCAGCCATCCCTCCCGCTTGGTGCACCATACTAACTTTCCCTGCGATTTCAGTTGGATAAAATGAACAGCAAAACTTGCAGTGCTTTCGAAATATACGTTACAATTACAAGTGAGAAATCATGACGATGTGCGCACATGTTGATGCCCTGTTGGTGGAGCGTACGTGACTTCATATCCCTTGACGCGAACAGCGAACAGCTGGTGCGCAGCTGCAGAACTCCAATAAAACCCAACCTGCTCTTTAAAAATTACAACCCCAAGGAGTCAAGGTTCATCCCAGAAATAGTCTAAAGATATGGTGCGAGGAAAATGGAGACATTTTACCGCACTGGCTGGAAGCCAGTGAGGTAACATTACCTAGCTGAGAAGTTAATAAGTTCTCATGGTGCACAGAAAATTAATTTGACAGCGCTGTTGATGCGCAAAAGCTGGATAGCTGAAATGATCTACATGAGAATTTGTACTCACAACACTCCTTGGAGGAATGCTATATCTCCTCATGTGCAAAATAAAAATTATCAGCCCACTCCATTGAAAAATAATGTTAATTTTAAATTTTCATAATCTGAAATTCAACTTGACAGTTGTTGTGCAGTATAGTTATACATATATTACTGTTGGAACGCCTTTGTCCATACATGGAATGGCAATTTTTGAAGTATGTAAAGGTATAGGGGGCTAAAATGTTCAAAAGGATAGATTTTCATGCATATGTTCTGCCAAAAATCCTGGAGCACACCTTACAGAAGGGCATAAAGTATTGTATGAATTAATAAATGCAAATTCAGTTTGGATTATGTTTTGTGCTTCTATCAAGTTTGTGCTTCTAAGGTTTAATTGGCATAGCATCAAATTGAATTAGAATATGTTTTGATGATGAAATGATCATGTGTTTCCACAAGGAATGACTTGGTGGCTAAAATTTGGTGGAACCATAATTATCAGTGGTTACATTTTGGAAATCAAGTAACATGCATGAGTTAGTATTCAGTGAACTCAAACAGTGTCTTTTGTTGGACATTCAAGAGCAGTGAAATACGGAAATCTTGTTACAAAATGAAGCCATTGACGACACTGGTAAAATACTGTAGCTTTGTATTACCGTATTACAAAAAATGCATTATCAAGCAATTCATACAACATTGTGGCTACTGCTGGGCATGGGACCTAAAAAACAAGTTTGTTGCAAGCAATTTTTGCTGAAATAAGATTAGTTGTGACATGTCCTAGTGTTTGAGAAAAATGGCCATGTTTCAATTTGATGTTTAAATGTGCAATGCATGATATACTGTATTCTGACCCTTCCAACAAACTGCAGATTTTTCCAAAAGCTGGAGACTTTGAAGTATTTTTGTGGCAATCATCCATCATGTCAAAAAATCAGCCACTTAATTCAATTAATCCAGCTTTCAGATGCCTTCCTCAAGTGAAAACTCTCACCATTCAAAATGTTTCAAGCCTGCTCATTTACAGAGTGTTTAATAAGGTGCAGTCTTGCAATTTATTGTCAATAATTTTATCTGTTGTCATTTGGTTAAATATTTGCTAGCAACTGAAAAGGACCACCTCAAAACACGTGTGAAAGGATTGACTGAATTGTGGACAGGAACAGAAATTCCCTGCTTTCATCGTTGTTAAAATAGAGATTTCTTTTAAATCTCAAACCCCTTTCTGCTTCTCTGTCCTATGAACCATTTTCTGGCTTCAAATCCTTTAAAAATTTGCCAACTTTCATAACAAAAACTTCTATGGCAAATGCTGAACAGATGGGAAAGAGAATCTTAAGTGCTAATCAATCCTATACCAATCAAAACAGTCAGAAACACTCATATGGAAGAAAATCTTCCAGAAGTCAACCAATGCTTCACTGTCACCCTTGCATAGTGCCACTGAATCAAGGGTTGACTGCTGTATATCCTTAAAAAATAGATTACCACTTTTAGTGAATATACTGCATGAAACAGAACTTGCACTGCAAATAGTGAAAACAAAACAATCTGCTTAGGTTGCTTGGCAAGGTATAAGCAAAATGATCAATCCAAAGAAAAATTATTATTCAGAGCAGATATTGTAACACATTTTTAGGGGTTTAGTTTTTTTCATACAAAGTACAGAAACATTCTGTTGCAAGAACCAGCTTTTGGCATTTTATCATCATAGCAATTTTTCTGGGTTCCAGTAGTTTTTCCTCAGAAACCATGCAATAAAATTCTGAATTTTTCCAACAAAACTCAGTTTTGCCTTTTTTCTCAGTACAGTATAGTACAATTAAAATTTTCGCTTGCTCATGTGCATCAGTGCAAGATGATATATTCAGGATGGTTTGGTAGCAATAGGTGTTTCAGTGCTAGAAAATTGAGAAGTCCTTGATTATTCTACTCTATCTAATGATGCCTGCTAATTTCATGTTCATTCTCAAAGGGCACCAAATTTGCTCTTGCACAAGGTGCCTCCCACCACAGGTCTGACCCTGCAGAGGATCACAGTTGAGGGATTTCATCACCAAAAATTTAGCAGATTTCTCATGAAATCTTCCACTGACCTTTTCCAGAGGAGGCTGCTGTATGCAACTGATGACCATGCCATGTTTTTCTCCAAAAATGTGTTACACCCTGACCAGTGAAAATCACAAAATGTACTTCAAGCAACTGAACTGAGTTACAGTGCATCAGAAAAAACTCCGATGTGTTGCATGCACGAGACTATCTGTTTTGAGAGAATACAAGTCAATCGGAGATAACAACCATATCTCATGTCGCTGTGTAAAAAACTCCCTGTTCTGATAAATGTTTCATGGTTGGCATAGCTGAACATTTCAAAAACGGACAGTAAATTCTACCACGAAGTCATTTCCTCCAAAAAGGCACTTTGCCACTTTTCGAACAGCGGCTTCTTTTCAACTTTATAGCAAACCCAATGAAATTCTTGAATATCGAGAGGTTCTTGTTTAGATACTGGATACTCACTGGTTTCACGTCTCTTATTCGCGTTAACAGTGGATTTTATTCAAGGGAAATTTATTTCAACTCTCTTTTCATTCCTATCGTAGCGGTTGAGGTCCCTCAGAACTGCCAAGAGGTTGATGAAATGTTCTTCGCATATACTTCGTCATTCAATATTTTACTTAAAATCTGATCAGACACGGGATATGCTTGACAGTTGACGCGCAATCCTGTCCATGAACACTTCGAATGAAAAAAGGAAAATATTCTACGTTTCAACTCGTAAGTGAAGGTATCAAAATATCATTTCTCCAGAAGTACTGGAATCAAGAATGTAAGCACGGTGTAATTCGTCCGAGACAGACAGCACATGTTTCCCAATAGCCGGAAGGATTCAAATTCGAACACACTGCTTGAAAACTGCATAAGCCCTCTGAAAAGCTTGAATTAAATTTTCCCGTGAAAGCTAATTTCATAAGTGTCGCGGAAAGCTTTTCAGTTTTTGTTTGCAAGAGCTGGGAGACGAGCATATTGGTCTTGCGGGTCAGTTCCCCACTTCGCAATCTTGTTGAAGAGTGGCCACGAACGATATTTGTCCGAAGCCATCCATGCTTTGATGCTTGGCAACTCCTCCACACGTTTCACGAGAGCATCGAGATTTGCGTAATCCTTGAGGCAGTCCGGTACCAGGTAGAGATTCCAATCCAAGACATCGTACAGGAAAAAGTCCACAAAATTCACCTGGAAGCAAGTCGACGAGCAAATAAAGAATTTTATTTCCTCAGAAAGCATCCCGTTACAACAAACGAGAAGGCAAATCTTGAAAGAAACATAGGAAATATACCCTATTCCTTAGAAATTAATCATCCAAATAAAATTACAGCATTCTAATTATATTTCATCAGAATTTATTTAGAGGAGCCGTGGTACTTGTGCATTCAGATTCAAATATTCCAACATACCTTTTCACCAGTGATCCATTCCCGTTCTCCAAGGAACTTTGAGAACAAACCCAAGTGGGTTGGAAGGACTTCTGTGATGTACTTTTGCTTATTTTCTTCAGTCTGTAAGGGACAAAATACAACTAACACCATCGACAAATGGCCTGTCATGATAAGAAATTACGAACCCATTCACGGTAACCAAGATTGACAAGAGCCTGGCGAAAATCCAGCAACTGATATTCCACCATATCCTGACGAATGTTGGCTTCTTCTGAATCGGCGATGAGTCCGTACTTGCGAGCAAGATGACGTGCGATTGCCATTGTTTGAGATATCTTCAGATCTCCATCGATGTAGTACGGCAGCTGAAGGGAAAAGAAAAAACCTTCATTCTGATGGGAGTACACGGTTTCAAGAAGTATCACAGCACGTTTATTTCCTTCAAAGCTGTACAATACACTCGCTGAAAATACAAACGTTTGGAAAATCCAATCCCAAGCCGTCAGCTTTGTCTTTGAGCCACTGATCACGGGAAAAATCTGGGGCGTCACCTAACTCGTAAACCTTTTCATCCCATTCCGCACCTCCTTGAGCCATGATCATACGGAGTATTTGAGCATACTGTGATAAGGAACAACATCGTGAGTTTAACTTGAAAAAAAAAACTTGAATTCATCCGTCTACGTACTCCACGAGGAAGCCAGTAGCCAAGAAGAGGAGCCATTTTTTAATAAGTTTGTTATTACGAGATTCACTATCTACGATCCTGGGAACACAACGTAGAAAATTAGCTTAAACAAAGTTACACAAAAATAGGGCACATCCGGCAGAGTAACAGTGATCGAAGTCTTCCGAGCGCATAAACGTGCGGATAACCGCATCGCACACGAATTGCACAGTGCACAGTATGCACACTAACACGTATGGCATCGCGTTCATGGAGTTTTCAACATCGATGAACGTACATTGGGAAAGCAACGCATCAACCAGATTTGGAATGTTCAGAATAAGCGCAAGAACCCACCGTTACACTCACGAATCCCAAAACTTAATGACAAAGCAGTAATTCACGGAACAGAATTCCATTCCTTATAAATTCAGATTCAACTGACACGCATGCAACGGCAACAAAAACTGTATTATGGTTATCGCAATCCTCGAGTTTCCGATACGTATATCATTCTTCGAAACGCGACTTACAATAACCTGAAGACCACGGCGAAAGTAACGCCGCCATGACGCTTTACCAATCTATTCTCTGTTACGCCTTCAACAGGTTCTAATTCTGTTGATCATTCTCCGTGAGGGTTAAAAATGTACAGCACACCAAATGATCCGACTAGCACCCGGAAAGCAGTTCAAAAGTTCCGCATAGAAGAGATCCCTGAAGTGATATGCAAAGTATATCCACAAAACAAGGATTCCTTCACCAAGAAGCGCTTTGATATGCGCAGTTCCTTATTTCGTTGGCAACCCAGTTTCCGAGAACTCGCCAGCATGCAGGCTGCTTGAGAGCTGTGTGAACGTTTTTCTCGGAACTCCTGCTGCTGGTCTCATCAGCGATTCGCTCAAGGATTCTAGTGCAAAATCATTCTTCAAGCCATCTTATCCAAGTCCTTTCTCTTCCAGGAATCGATTTCATCTCCGCTTTGTATGTTCTCCCTTACATAAACTAATAACGCATCGAGGCGGTTGACTTATTGATCCCACTGGGTCCAATTCAGAATTTGCTCTGCCATCAGAAAATGTCTCCCAGAAAATACAGGAAGTCATTAATAAATGATTGATTTTCCGTTTCTTGATTCCAAAAATGTCTACAGAGGCGTGAGAAATAGCATTTTTTTTTAAATGTACAAATTATCTCTGTCCAAAATACATCATTAGAACGTCTTTCTCCAGCTTATAAAAACAGAGCAAGCAAGCAAAAAATCCCATCTAACAAAAATTACCCCTAAGCAGAACAGCTTGAGTCTTTGTTCTACTGATCAAGTTGTGCCTTGAAATTCGACCTACAGCAAATGATCTGTCCCAAAATTCAAAGGTCAAAGTTGCAGGGAAGTTGACCCACAATTCAACATTTGCCCGCAATTTTATAGTCTTTATCCATTTTTTCATGTTATTTGCATTGATATTTTTAATTTAACGAAGTGTCTCGCGATTTGACTGTTTTGCAATTCAACTCTAGTTCAGCAACAGATTAGGGTCAAATTGTTAGGTACCATCTGTATATTGTATAAAGCTTCAATATGTATAATACTGTACATCCAACTTAACAATGAACCAACTAAAACCGAACTTGAAAATATGCTGTAGTTTTTATTTTAAAGAAATGTATATAGTGTATTTTCAACCGTTTATTAGCGTCTTACTTCCCTTCCAAAATGTATAACTAGATAGAGTGGTTTCACAACGTGATCGGTGACCTGATTCGGATCAGGCTCAATAAAATCGAGTGGACGTCGTATATAGAGCATTATATATTCATGCGCAGTAAACTTCGCAGGAATCCATGATGTGGGATTTGGTTGATATTTTGTTCACTCTAGTTTTCTATGGCATGTGATGATTTTTTTATGCCGGTGCTCGAACGCGAAAAATATTTTGCGATAATTTTCCATTCAATTCTGAATATTACATTCAAAATAAATACTTGAATCTTTTCGAACAAGTCAATTATTAGGGCAGATTAGAATAAAGGTAAAATACTGTACGAAGAAATCATTCATGTATCGTCAGGAAGCCGATCCCACCAGATGTATATGCATAAACTTGGAAATTTCGTTTGAAGGACTTTTCTAAATAACAGAACTCTTCTGGAAGTTTTCACTCGCTGGACCATTTAAATCTTCATTTCGTCAAACAAAGATATTCTAATGCGAGTTTTTGGCGCCTTTTTAAGATCTGCAAATACGTGTTGCAGCTCATAGAATCTTATGCACTATCTATTTTTACGTCTCAGACGAAATTTGCCGTTTAATAAATGAATTCAAGCCATGAGCCACAATTTAATTGGCGAATCAATAAGGGTGTCTCTAAATGCCATATAGTAAGCATAGTTGAACGTCCTTCAACTAGTTGGATTATGGAATCCGCTTCAATTTTATCAAAGAAATTGATCCTTCGAATACAAAAATGTACTAAACATGTACATAATATAAGAAAAAAGGGAAGAACTGAGACCCCTCAGTTAAAGATCATGTTGGTGGGGCACTGGAGAAAAAATGGTCAGGAGCATATCTGAGTTCTCAATGAATTCGGCAGATGGAAAATTGTGTTTCCCTGGGGTTTTCAATCTTGACGTAATTATGTGGCACATTTAATTTGAAAAGTTAGTGCAGTGATAGCACCAACCACTTGACTGGTGCCCAGTTACCCTCAGAGGTTCCCGTCAAGACAGCAGTTGGAAAGCCCCCCACCCATTGAAGACCCATTTATCCAAGTTCCCGGAAAATATGAATGGCTAATTAAAAACAACATTTCTGCTCGTCACCGCGGAAATCTCACACGAGGATCGCGAAGGTCGTGAATTGCGACAATAATTTGCATTATGTGTTCTGTCACCATCATCGTCATTATAGTATTTAGAAACACCATCACTCAGCCATGTTGCAGACGGAACGGTTGAGCGCGACTGAATGAAACAACACAGGCATTAAAGCTACGAGCCCTTGACGAAGAGCTGTTGCTATAGATAAAGCCTGCTGCTGGTTTGCTCTCAAGTTTCAAGCATCAATCTTGTAAGTTTGGAACTGCCGTAGCCTTTTTTTTTTTACTTATTCATAATCAAGTGTTTATTTATATAGTGGGCTGTTCTGAAAACGTTAACCAGAGTCGGTTTCGTCAAGTTTTCTCGTAATCTTTTGTCCGCGAGGCTCAGGACTGATGGAATTGGTGGTGAGTAAAATTATGAAGTTTTAAAAGAATAAATTGTTAACAAGAAATAAGTGGATAAGTAAATTTAGCCTCGCATGTTGCCGCACAGTGGATTACCTCTTCGTGGAACAAACTTTTTCCAGCTTGACTTCTGTTTTATAAAAATGGTTAATGCGAAATATGGGATTTCCCTCGACCAGGTTAAAATAATAAAATTTTCATCTTTCCATGATGATGGCCAAAAGGTACATAACTTGAACATAGGTTTTCTAGGAAGTTATGGTGAACTCTCTCTAAATAACAAAACTCAGGGGACCAGGAAGTAATTCATAGTATGAAGCATTTTTTTGTAGAGAACCTCTATATAAATGGTTAGAGATTGTAAAAGTGACCGACAAATTTATCGTAAATAAGAAAATCGTTGTAGAGAAAGTCTATCATTAAAATAAAAGCATGTCTTTCAAACCCATTTAAAAAAATAGTAATCCTGGTAATTTTCAAGTCCAATTTGAATTTAATTGAATTTTAAAATGTTTAGCTCCAGAAAATACTTGAACGTCTCTCCTATCTTTTATGAAATAAAAATAAATTGTTCCAAAGTTTGACTTCAAAGCTTATACACTATTGCTGTACAGTAGTTTGTAATTGAAGATTATACTGGCGATTTAAACACAATCAATATCCTGGAAGATCGGAGCGATGTAAACTCAGCAGTTTTGTTTAGAATTATACGGAACTACTTTAAAAGCTTCCTCGCCAATTTTAATCAACTTATATCCTTGATTACAATTCATGGGATTACGTTTATAGTTGAATCGCATTAACTGGAACCTCAGCTATGACTACAAAACCTGTCCAACACAATTTTTTCAATCAAGACAATTTTCAAATTCCCATGGAAGCAATAATGTACCCTGAACCTCTCTAACTAAAACATTTCAATGATAATGCAGGACAAAGATAGATTCGAATAGTAATACTGTACAATACTTTTGGGAAAGGTTAAAACTTCCGTAAATCGAACACATGTAGTCTTGACTTGAGGTTCTGGATTCTGCACACTTCTTCCCACCAAAGCAGTTTCTAAAATTTTGCCATTTTTGTACAGCAAATAATTGCTTATAAAGTTGAGCCTTGATAATTCAAACCTCACTAACTAACAAAAATACCTCCCCGAATAAAATGTGCTAAGTCCCTGTCTGAATTCCTTTAGAAGCAATGCATTAAGAACCTCCCAATAAGCTGATGGCTTTTCCACTCAAACCTCCGTAATTCAAATTTTGCAAGGCTTTTTGACTATTCATTATTGACAAGATAGAAAGAGAAAAGCAAGAAAAATTAACATAACAATTTTTGAAAGGAAGTGAAATACTAATGGGACAATTGAACTCTTGCCTTCAAGTTCAGCAGCCTGTCAAATCATTTAAAAATCGATTTAAGGCACCAAATATCATCATTTAAATTTGCCTGCATTTCTTCCATCTTCCCCTCAACAAAAATGCTTGTTTCCCTAGCTCAAATCCTCCATAACAAAACTGTTTGCCTGGTCCCCTGAGACTCAACCTAGAGAGGGTTGACTGTACAACCAACACCTTTTTTCAAGCTCTATATTTCATCCCTAAATTCAAAGCACAAATTTCCAGCACATATTTCCCTACAACTCAACATCTCCCCAAATTGATGCGCGTTTTTTGTACATTTGAATTTGATCACCAGCAGAGATCTGACTGTAATATTGCAGAAAGTTGTTCCAATTTTTTACTAGCCCCTTTTGGATTCAAGTGTTCCAAAAATAAAATTGTGACTCAGTGCGTCCCGTTATTTATTTGGACCGCGGACAAAGATTTTACTTTTTCTCCCGCGAAGGAAAAACTCCGCCACAGTTATTCACGCCC